ATAAAAAGGAGGTTTTTAAATCGAGAAAAGTTGTCTTAGAGTATGAATTTCTTATTAATAGGTTTCCTTGGATAATCCGGCTAAGGAGGGAAAGAAGGTGAGAAAGTTAGCCGACGATCAAACGTTGTAGTCTCTCGTGATGAAGAGGTTCACACCGGTTAGTAGGAGAGGAAGAGTCGTGTCTAGTGGAGGCAAGAGGAAGGCCGAGAACTCGGCAATGACGATCGCTACTGGCGGGGTAAAGCGATCGAGAGGCCCCGACCCTATCCTCCTAGAAGACACGGGGTGTCGGGAGTTTGAAGTTGGCCGCTGAATTGTGGCCCGAGGAGGGACCTTGAAGAGAATGGCGGCAGAGCTCCAATGGTTAGGGTCGTTGAAGAGGAAGTCGATCAACTGATAGAGGAGGAGTCAAAAGAGGAAAAACGCGCGGGGCTTGAGCATGAGAATGCATACTTTGATGCGACTAAAGAGGTGAGTGTAAAGGGGGTAAAATCTCTGTCGTAGGTCTTTTAGTTTATGCTTTTCTTTCAAGTTATTATTTTAGTTAACTTTTCTCGTATGCGCGATATGTGTGTGAGGCATCCCACCGCCTGTAAGGGTGGAGGCACGCGTTGTACTTTGTATGAATGTATGTGATGTTGTATGGATTGATGGTATGAGGAACCCCCGGGTGGTTGGGTCACTACTGGACGGCGAGACGTACACAGTAGTTGACGGGCATGGACTGGACGGCGAGACGTAACGCAGTGCCATTGCTGGGTTTGGGTATGCAACCGGACGGCGAGACGTAACGCGGTTGGCATACTAGGGTAGGGACACCGGACGGCGAGACGTAACGCGGTGGTCCCTTGTGTTGGTGTCTATGGATTAATAATATAAGTAAGGGAATTCTAAAGATAAGATAGGAGTAGAGATCTCTTATAGACTGTTTGTTAGTAAAGTTTTAAGGATGAAAGTGAGAACGACTTTCGTCTAAGGAAGGCATTCCCCTAATAATGTGTTTAGTACGGAGTTTGCCTAGAGCAAAGACCTTAGGAATTAACGACGAGACTGACCCCTTCTCACTCACCAGGTCGAGGAAGGGTTAGTATAGGCGGACTGCAAGAAGAGGCAAGGCGATGCGAGCAGCTGCACCAGCATTGATGAGAAGTCAAGGAACTCGTGAAGAGTCAGATCTAGAATAGTTTAGTTTCCTTGTTACATGGTTAGGAGTGTAAACTGGAGATCCTGAGTTCTTTCATTTTAAGTATTGGGATTGTCATTTGCCCAAGTCTTCAGTCATTTTGTTTGGAATTCTTAATCATTGTCGGTTTATTTATTTTAAAAAGTTGGGTTGGTTGCTCCGGAGTAACCGGTTTGTGGTTTGAGTTGTGGTTTTGTTTTTAAAAAGGTTCGGGTCATGTCAGAAATTGCTCTTGCTCGGTCACCGGTAGTAAGAAACAAATCCCACTTGTACTAAATATGACTACTCGGCAAGCAAACTAAAAAAAGAGAGAAAGACTATCCTTGTCAGAAAAGGTAGTGATGTGCTTAAAGTCAAAACGAAGTTTGCAAAAAGCTTCCCCCATTTGTTTTCGAGACTCTTGTGCTTAGTTGGTTGCTTATAATTTATGTGAGTAAGCCAGATTGTCCTCACGACATTTGAACCTCACTGATGTGGTTAGATTCTCCTAATAACTGTTACACCATAAGTTATTAATCATCCACTACCGACGATCGAAATTGAGTGTTGCTAATTGAGTTTTTGATGGATTTGAGTTAGTCAATGTTAATGGTTGTATTGACCTTGAGTGTGGGGTGAAATGGTATGATCATTAAAGCACAACTCATCCATTGAGAAAGAAACTACTGATTACCACAAGAGTACAAGGATAAATTCATGGTGTTGATGATTGTGTTCCGTGGGTTGTGTGTTTTGAACAAGGTTGTCCCTGTATGTTCTGTGTTGTGTTTCCTCCAATTATCGTTCTCTTATCTGAGGCATTGCTTAGGGACAAGCAAGTATTGAGTGTGGGGTTGTGATAATTGTCGAAACATATTGATTATAAGTGCTTAATGAGATTATTTTGTGATATGTTTGAGACATATAATGTTTGTTTTTAGGTCCAACTTAGCCTGGAATGGTTATATAACAATTACCTCCGAGTGCAAATATTTTATATGTTTCAGGTAAATGAAATGAGAAATTAGCATTGCTGAATGAGATCATTAAGGTGGACCGGATGGGTATTATGGATTCTTTGATAACAAAGCTTAATTAATAAGGCTTATGGGAAAGCTTTGGTGGGTTTCTGGGTTGAGGACACACGAAATAGGGGGGAGCAATTATTTGGACCGGGCGGAATTTACTTGAGGGGAGAGGAATCTTTGGCGGGGACAAAACTTCTTCTGGAGCGCAGCGAGCAGTAGCGCGGAGATAAGCGGCGACTCGCGAAGAGAGGACGATCGGCGATTGAAGCAAGAAGGGTTTAGGATAGGGTCAGTAACCATTGGTTACTAACCTATGAGTAATTAAATTTGGACCTTTAGATCTAAGTGGGCCCAGAAAATTCAGATCTAAGGGTTGTCAATTAAAGACATTTTATTTTCCCTAGTTTTCATAATCGGCTCTTATCTTCTTCGTTTTAACTCGGATTTCAATTTTTTTTTTTTTTTGCACACATGGAATGAGTTCGTTTTGCTCTACAAAATGAGATCAATTTTCAATATATTTCGAGAAAGCTTTTTTTACCAACTACATACCATATGGTAACTTCTTCATTTTTAAATCGTTTTTGAAAACGTTTTCTCAGAAGGAATGAGTTCATCGTGATCTATTGGATCTACAAATTTCTGGGTGAAAAAAATACAGGACCAAAAATTACCATACTTTACCACTATGGTATGTGGGTGGTAACTTGTGGTAAACAATGATGAAAGTCGTAAATGACAGTTAGTATACTCCTACTATCATGTATTCAACCTTCTTATCATATTGGTATGTGCATACCATCATGATACGCTTTCTTACCATATGGTATTAAATATGAGCATATCGTATGGTAATGACTGGTAAAAAATTATTCAATTTTTTTGTACTAAAAATATATCAAAGTGGATATCATTTTAAAGAGCACATTTAATCTGTTTTATCTGTGCAAAAAAATTTAAATTTTGACTTAAAACGAGAGAGAAATCGTCCATTAAAGATTAAAAGGGAAAAGATAAAAGACTTTCCAGAAGAGAGGGGATGCTGATGTCATGCGGACGTGGACAGGTTACTGATGGTTACTCGCCATAGAGTTACTGACCTGATTCGCTCCCGGCAAGAAGGAATTGATCGAGATTACATTCCATAATCTCAGTAATTTTTTTTTCCTTGAGCTTTAATTAATACAATGATGATTATCAGTGGCGGATCTAAATCTAGAGTTTGTATTGTGCTTATAAATGTTTCGATTTAGGTATTCGGCCTAGTACTATTTAAAATTCGATCCAGTTTTATTTGATAATAGGATTTTGTGCCACTAGAAAAATGGCACAAATGAACATATCCAAACCACTAATCTAAATTTAGACTAAAAATTCTAGCCCCGAATATTTTTATATGAAAAAAGACAATAAAACCTAAAATTTTAAAAATATTATAGTTTTATTGATTTAAAAAACCCCTCTGAACTAAAGCTCACCCTTCCCGGCAAAACTCAAAAAATGTCCCCAATCCCCCCAAAAGAAAACAAGAACGAGGAGACGAACGGACCCGAAATGAATTACTCCGCTAGTCCGTCAGGCACTAGTTTTCTTTCCATTCTTTTCATTAAGAAAATATTTACAAACTTGCTAAGTTATCATTTAGATTGCCTTAGTTGAGTGGAAACTGGGATTGGGAAAGTTTTCTTCTCTTGCAAAATTACTAGATAAGTTGGAGGAAACTAGGATGGACACAGAATACAAATTGATTTATGAGTTGATTCACCTAGTGTTGACCTTACTTGTTTTAACGACTACCATGAAGAGAATATTTTTCAGCAATGAAACATGTGAAAACTTATTTGTGCAACAAAATGAATGATTAATTTCTCATTGATTGCTTAGTTATTTTCTTGAGAGAGAGAGTATGCTATTGGTATGGATGGAGAGTCCATTATTGATGGGTTTGCTAAATTAAAAAACAAATCTTCTAGCATAATTGACATTATAATGAAAACTATAGTTATTATATATTTTACGGTAGCTGGTATTCTATTCAAATGCGGCCCAGTGCTCTACTATGGCCTGGATCCGCTGCTGATGATTATAAACATGATTGTGTGTTTTATTTTCGTCATGAACTAAACCCCAATTTCTGGGGGAAACACCATAGGATGTAGCTATTTCTATACTTGATGGATTGATTCGTATTTCTTTTCTTCCAATCTCTATTGCATGAAATTGCTTAATGCTTTGTGTTGACTGGCCACCAATACAATGAATCGTAGTTAATTAGGTTATTAGCGACAGTGAAACCCTAATAACTGAACCTATTTCATGTGACATAGTAACTTATCGAAGTGACAGTGGATTAAATAAGGTGTTATGCGGTCTTAAATAGGATATCGATCTTCAAGTTAAATAATTAAGTCATTGAGCTACGACAGTAGGATTTGATGTAATTGTTTAGTACGTAGTAATTCCCCACAGGGATAGCTAGCACAGTAGTGATATCCTGGCTGTAGAGATATGGATTAAACTTATTGGAATATGTGAATTAATTTGGATATGATAGGTAGTGAGTCTCGATGTTTCTCCCAGAGCTTTCTCCGTTGATTTCTCCCGACAACTTTAATTTGCTTGTTTTGTTCAATTATTTTGCTATTAGATAATAGTTTCACCATTCAAACCATTTCCACCTATAGTTTGCTTCATAAAATAGATAGAACATAAGATTGTACCAGTCCCTGAGAGACGATACCCGGACTTTCCGTTTACTACGAGATGGGAATTGAAGCATTACACTTTTGCCCTATCATAAAGAAATTGTAGATTATTATTATTATTTATTTTCAAAACATTCATAAATCATAACACCATGTTATACAACGCGTATAGTTCTTTTCACAAACGTTAACAATAATATTGTATATCATTAAAAATTACAGTAAAAAAGTTAATAACGAATATTGTATGTCATCAATAATTCCATTCCCATAGTTGGTCTCCTTGGCGATTATACAGCAAGCGTCCATCTGGCTTCAGGGTGGGTGATTAATTGTGGCTGTCAATATGAAAGTCCGATTTACCCTTTCAGGTTTGAGCGTCAAGCATCGACAAGTGTGTTCTGTTCTGAGAATCGCATACTTAGAATTGACCTTCATGCATGCATGCCTGGCCTTGGGCTCCATCCAAAAGGGACAAGGAAAATTCTCAACCCCTGGCAACTTGACGTTTCTTGCCAAAATTTAAAAAAAAAAAACGGGAGGAAAAAAAAAACCAATATGACGTTGTTCATCATTTCTATGCAACTCTAGATACACCATACCTCCCTCCCCAAATAGCTTCAATATTTCTTCTGCTTCCCTACTTACTTCCTACACATCTCTCCCTGCCGTTCGTGCCTCCCTCAGCCCAGAATTGCAGGTAAGGAGAAGAACAAGAGTTAAAATCCAAAAGCTGAAAATCCAATTCCCCGTCACTTCACCCTCCGTCTGCCAGCTTGATCTGATCACATATGCTGGAAGGACTTCCAAACTCCAAATATGCCTTCACCGGTCAAGCGCATGGTACGATTTTCTTGCTTACCACGCATCATACTCTCACTTCACCACTCAAGCGTATGGGGGTGAAAACTGAATCTGAATCCCCTTTCCTTTTGTTCAGTATCAATTTCAGCCGGATATTATAATGTGCACATCTTCCTCCTCTATTGTAATATTTAGCGTCTATACTCTGTGCCAGGCCTTCATTTCCTACTCCCAATCAGCATCAAAGAACCCTGCATCTTTCATCTCTGAGTAGTATGCATTATCCAGAAGAAATTCTTCTTCCTGCACCCCACCCATACATGCAGACACTTGATTTGTTACACTTAACAGAATATACGTCCACCAGTTAAAAACACTAAGACAGAGGATGTGGTGAAGGGAGTGTGCCAAACCTGGAAAAAATCGGCAAGAAATGTTGTGTATACGAATGGAAGGTAGAGAGAGTGGTAGCACAGAACCAGGAAGTAGTACAACCTGCAAGATACAGATTAAAGGCCGCGTATGCGTTAATCTTGAAAAGACTAGGACTCAAAGATTTTTTACAATCTAACTCTAGGAATAACTATTAACCCTAGATCAACTGATAGTTTATTTGCAAGAGAAATATTTTTCCCGCAGCTGTTGGGTGTTTTTCATAAATTATTACACGTACCAAATGCCGAAGCCAACCCCAACAGCAGCAACTCCACAAGCAAACAATCCCATTGCATTTATAATAAACATCATGCTGATGTAGTTGTAGAATGCTGGCCTTGCTGCAGGCACCATAAAAGGCAATAAGACCTTATACTCTTAAACAAAATTTCAGTTGCCCTGAATATACTCTCAATGATGTATGTACTTACGAGGCAATTTATCCTTGCCTCCTGAGAAATGCACAAATAACACAAACCCGTAGGCTCCAAATATCAACAGTTGATGGATGATCCACATTCCCCATTTCATTCTTTGAGTGCTCTCTAGTCCTTCAACAAATAGTGGTACCCCAAACCCAAAAACGTAAATGGCCTGAAGAACGTAATCAGAGAATAGATTATCAAAATGGTCCAGATTTATGAAAAGCCAAACATAACAGATGTTAGTATGATTGAGGCCAGAAGAAGCTTTTTGCTTGCATGTTGATGACAAGTTCTTTCCCTGAGCTGAAAGATCGCACATCAACCCTGGCAACTATTGATCCCATAATGCACAAAACCAAGAAAAATAAATCGCCAACTAAACCAGTAGGATGCTTTCAAAATGTTAACCGCACTCGTGCACAGCTAATTAGATTGCCTAAAAGAAGTTACGCCAGCAAACGAACACCCTAGTAGCAGCTTGGTCTGGGCCAGCATAACATCCCTTTAGCACCATGATGTAACTGCATTTGAATACCACGAGGCTTCGTCTTACTGCACATGAATGCATAACATCTGAAAACCATGTAGGACATGTCCAACTATCTGATTTCAGATGATCGACCCAGGGCAAGTAAGTTTTCCAACAGTAATGGCAACACAAGTTTCTAGGATTCATATATGAACTATGAAGCCTCTACTTTGGAATCTGATTCAGTAAGTCACAGAGAAAGGGATGCCTCTCCATGTAAAACTGAATGCCCAGAGGGAAATTGCTACAAGAATTAATATTACCTTGAACAGCAGATCGACACCAACAATAATTCCTGACACAAGAAAGGTTCGTCCCAAAGTTTCCATTCCAGTAGCATAATTATCTTGGAGCAAGAAAGCGATCACACTAATTTCCAAGCATAAGATTGAAGATTCCACAAACAGCGACAGAAAATTCCAAGCAACTTCCTTCTGAGGAGAGCATTGCCAGGCCTGCAAGCAAATCAAGAGATTAGGAATATAAATGGAAGCTCTTAGATTTTCAATGAACAACATTTACAGAGCTCTTATGTGATCAAACAAAGACTGAAAGTTCATCAATGCTGTCTCGGATTGCTAGCTTTTGATTTGATGCATACGTGTTAGCCAATTGCCTAGCAGAACTTTCCAGGAATGATGCTTCAGAGTTGTGCATTGATGAAAATGAAACAGAAAGGCTGCAAGACTTTGCTCTTCAAAAGATTAATCCAAGCTTATAGAGCTATAAACAACCTCTAAAGAGGAATTCTCAGCTCCAACAAGGAACCCTACACAAATAGTCAGAAAAAGAAATCATTTTTTTCTCAACCAACCTTCTGCTATCGATTCCCTTCCACCTGCTTAGTGAAATCGGTCCATTTCTCAAACCTACTAATTCCATAACCCAAAATGCGTACACCACGAGTAAATCGAAGGCAAGTAAGTACTGAAGAGGAAGGCGGAGGGCGAGCACCTGAAGGCAGCACCAAGCGAGATTGAGGGAGCTGGCGAACCAGAGGAGGGCGTAATACGCAATCATGACGTAGGAGCCTCCACGCCACAGCTTCTTCACATTCTTGCTCGCGTTCAGCCCCAAGTATACGACGAACAGCACCGCCGGAACCACGAGCAGAGCATCGAACCAGATGCCGTGGCAGATGTCGCTTTCGTGGCCAGCATCGCCAGTGTATTCTGGAGGGAAGGACGAAGATGGAGAAGATGCGTAGGGTGTAACCTGAAGATTCATCGCGAATCAATAGCATTTACCATCGGAAACGAATATCAGACGGATGCGATCGAGTTTCCATGGCGAATAGGAGAGACGAGAACGGTTGAACCTTTCTTCTTTTCCAGCACTGCAAATGGAACAGAAGACGACAACTGACACACCGAACCGAGCCAATATTTTCCACGGAAATTTGTGATACTAACAACAAAATTCATGACAAAATACACTTTTATAGTCAAAAATTCACATTTTGTGACAATAATAGCCAAATTTTGAAAAATATACAGTTGTAGCCACATTTTTAAAATTTGTGTGACTAATTTGGCCATTTCCGTCAAACACTTTAACAGCGTTAATGACACCGTCAGTTAAATTGATGTTACAATGATGTGGTTGCCACTGGACCGCCACGTCATATCCTCCTAAACACCCCATTGCCACGTAAGCGCCACATCAGATGAAATTATTCGTTTTTAATTATGTTAATTACACAAAAATAAAAAATAAAAAATAAAAAAGAAACTAAAAGTCATCTTCTCCACCTGACCTATTACACCCCACCGCTGGAGCTTCCTTCTAACTTTCCGACGCTGACACCTCTATCCCAATCCACGAGGAGATTGAAATCCTCCGCTTCAGTTCCGTTTCTCCAAATCCTGCCTTTCGCTACAGCCGCGTTCCTCGTCGCTCCCTAGTTGATTGTCGCCTTCGCTTTTGGTTGTTGGACGAAAATTGAGTTCGTCGGTGATGGCGAATGACGAAGCGATGTTGTCGGCGGCCCTCTTCAAAAGTGGCACGAACTCCATATACAGATCCTCCTCTTGTTGGATTGTTTGTCGAACATAGTGGGAAAATCAAGCAGTGGCTTCTTCTCTATCATTTTTGCTTTGTACCTCTTCTTTAGATCTGGATCTTCCTGGTCCAGGGAGTTGATGCCGCTGATACTTGTGACTCCCTCGCTCGAGTTTGAGTACATATTCTTCGACAAAACTCGATTGGATAAAGAATAGGGGTAGATCTCCACTGATTGCCATGAAACTAGAGGAGCTCTTTTCGATTGACCGGTGGGATGGTTTACAACACGGCGATTACAGGAGGCGGGCGACGAGCAAAGAAACCGATTTAGAAGAAAGAGCATCCATGATTTTTGCCTGAATTTAGGCTTTCTTCCCTCCTCGTTGTGTTACCCCTTCGTAATCTCTCCATAACTCGTCCACAGTCCCTCCCGTTCGCTAGTGAACAATCGCCGGATCGTTGGGACATTGTCCGCTTAAATTACAGATTCTTCAAACGAAAAAGTGAGGTTGGGATTGATGTTGAGCCTACCCCAAGGGCCTAGACTCAACAAATATGGAGGAGAAATCGCAAGGATATGGTGGCAGTGGGCGGAAGTGAATACAAGGTCCGAGGCGGCGAGTGGGAGGATGGGTAAGTGTTTGGGGAGAGTGGGTGGAAGGTGAACCGGCAGATTTTTTCTTCTTTTTTTTTACTTCTAATTTAAATTAGTTAAATAAAATATAAAAACTCAGGCAGGAAAATTAATAAAAATGCCAAATTAGCAAACGACGTTAGTATAATCATCATTCATAACGGTATCATTAAAGTTATTAACGGAATGGCTATTTCTATGTATTTTTAAAAAAATTGGCTATTATTGTCATAAAGTGTAAAGTTAAGGCTATGAAGGTGTATTTTGCCCAGGATTCATTATACCGGGTAAACTTAGGTAAAATCTAATAAAATTAAAAATAAACTAAAATATATTTAGCCCACCCACCCTCGTCTCCTTCACACTCTCGTTGGATCTTGATTCTTCTTCTCCCCTGTCGGCTTCCCTGTAAACTCAAAACCCTCACCGCGTTTCAACTCTGTCGTCCCTCCGTCATAGCTCGGATCGCGACCTCCGAGGCCGGAGATGAAGAAACCCCATACAATGCTGGAGACGCGCTCCTCTTAACGAGGATCGATTCTGGAGACCGAACATTCGCTAGTCGCCGCTTCTCCCTCCAGACAAGGACGGGGATGATTTTCCTTGTGCTTCAGCCGTGGCTTTCGCATCGTCACTCGGCGAGCTCGGTGCTGTTTTCCTCTCCACCGCCGACCCTTTCGCCAAGTCCAAGCCTTCTCACCGTGCTTTCTCCCAGTGGGCGGATTAAGGCCTGCCGATTGGGTGCCGCACCCCGCCGGACTGCCCTGCCCGCCCACCCTAAACTGTTTCTACTTAATATGTGTCCCCGCCGATGCTTCTCTCGGTGCTATTGTACTCCTCCTCGGCAGCCTTTTGCTTCTTGAGTTCCTTCTCCTTAGCCTAATAACAGTACAAGACGATAAACAGCAAACGCCTTAATATAAGAAGAAGCAAGCAATACATTCACTGAATTGAGTGGGCATATTAAGTTGCGAAAACGGAATTGAGGACTAACCTCTTCTTCGTTCTTCTTCTTGCATGCAATTTCTTTTGGAGTCTCAATCATCTCTTCAACCACAAAAAGCATATTGGAAACCTCCTAATGCAAACCACAATTTCTCTAACACATACCAAATACCTCCTAATTCAAACCACAAAGCGATAAAACAAACCATAAAAAGCATACCAGAAACACTATAATGCAAACCAAAAAAAATTAATGCAAACCCCAAACTCCATAAAGCAAACCACAAAAAAGCAAACCAAAAAACTCCTAGTGCAAACCACAAATCCATTAAAACAAACCAGAAACCCCACAAATCAAACCATAAAATTTTCGAAAGCAAACCAGAAACCTTCTAATGCATACCACAAATCTCCTAAAACAAACCACAAACCTCACAAAGCAAACCACAACATTTGCGAAAGCACACTAGAAACCTCCTAATGCAAACCACAAACACAGTAAATCAAACACAAAAACCAAACCATAAACGTAATAATAGGCGTGTTCAAACGGTTTGGTTACCATGGTAACCGTTTTAACCAGTACTATTTGGATAATTTGGTTTGGTTAATTTGGATAATTGGTTTGGTTTGGTTAAAGTTTTTAGCTTGTTTGGTTTAGGTGGTTTGGTTTGGTTTCAAACACTCCAAACCAGTCAAATCAAATTAACCAGTTAAGTAATTAGTCATATATCTAACATATATTATATACACATACTTAATACTTTGCATAACCACTCAAGAGTGAACGTTCATCCCTCTTAGACTCATAAAATATAAAGCTCAATATTGCTCATATAGTGTATATTTGTATATGTAAAATGTAGACCACAACATATGGACGCCTAATTTAGATAAATTTCATACATTATGATGGATGAAAACTTGAAAGGAAGGTCATTTCCAGCCTATGATAATTGCTAAGAGACTAAGTCAATTTACACAAACACAACAATTCACTAACCCATACCATTGTCATAAATTTTTGTTAGGTGAATACTTCTATACTAATCGTAAGATAATTGTCTTAGTTGCATGTATTTTTGTTAAGGGTCAACTATAACTACGTGTTGATTGTTATGTTTTATTCATTATATAAATTGCGAATTGTTGCATTAACCGCAAAATTTTCATCGTGATTTTATATTGGTTAATCTGGTTAACCAATTAACCAAACCGATTAAACTTTAGTTTGGTTAATTCGGTTGTTGTATTAGCTTGGACGGTTTGGTTATGATATTGTATTCCATGGTTAATGGAATTTAGCCTTATTTGGTTTGGTTATAACCATGGTAACCATTTGAACACCCCTACGTAATAATGCATACCACAAATATATTAAAACAAACCAGAAACCTCACAAAGCAAACCACAACATTTGCGAAAGCACACCAGAAACCTCCTAATGCAAACCACAAACACAGTAAATCAAACCACAAAAAGCAAACCGTAAACGTCATAATGCAGACCACAAATATATTAAAACAAACCAGAAACCTCACAATGCAAACCACAAAACTTTTGAAAGCAAACTAGAAACTTAATGGAAACCACAAACACTATAAAGCAAACCACAAAAGGCATACAAAAATATGAGAAACCAAACCATAAATCTAACAATGCAGACCATAACATCCGATGGTCGTTGACCGTTGACCAGTCAACGAAGTTCGTTGACCAAACTCCGATGACCGTCAATGAGCAGATTCTGACGGCGATAGGCATATTCCGGCCCCGATGACTAGATTCCGATGCCAGTAAGCATATTACGGCGACGGTGAGCATATTCCGATGATAAAATAGCATATTCCGGCGACAAAAAAAAACATATTCCGGTGGCCGGTGGCCAGATTCAGGCGGTCGGTGGCGAATTCATGCGACCAAAACTAATATTCGTATATAATTCAATTTTAAAGTTAATAACAATAATTTAAATTAATATAAAAAAAATTACCGTCGGCGATGGTGACGTCCCGCCCACTGCCCAGGACGTTTGTCCTTCGCTGACGACGTCTGGGAAGGACGTCAACGTCGCTGGCGAAGGACGAACGTCCTGGCCGGACGTCACGCGGTCGTCGGCGACGTCCTGCGAGGACGTTCGTCGCCTGCGACATCTGGGCAGGACGTCACTAGCGGCCGGTCAAACCACCGTAGACTCTCCCTCATCGTACCCAGTTCAGAACTTTACTTCCGGCGACTGGGTCCTCTTCTCCGGCGAGGCGATCTCCTCTTCTTCCGGCGACTGGCAGTGAGTTGCCGGAGAGGGAGATGGAGGAAGGGGGTTGATGGTTGGATTATTAGGGTTTGAATAATTATTTAGGTTTGGAATAATATATAGAAAGTCATTTAAATGATAGTAATTTGGTATAGTTATTATTATTTTTTAAAAATTATCCCTAATCAATCCTAACGGTTAGTTTAAAAATATTGAAAATGAATGGTATAGATGTAGGTAGCCACGATGGTTCCTAAAAAAATAGTAATCATCCTAACTCATCCCGTGATCTCTGACAATAAGGAGTAAATAGAAGGGTGATTTTAAAATGTCTTTACGAGTCGGTTCGGGTTTGTCTTTCATTTTCGTAAAAGATTTTCAGTCAATGAATCAGTTACAATGTCGAAAAAACTATGATATTGATCATTTTTAATAATTTGAATTATTTTGTTCTACCAATAAAATCGAATATTCCAAGTATTTGAATAATTTGGATTTTCTTATACTATCAAAACCCGTGTATCTCACATACAATTTGATAACATTGTTACGTGATTGGCGACCGAATCCGACCAACTGGCCGGGCCTGTGACTAGTATTGAGATTTGAAAAATAATATCGGAGCAAGAAAGTAATAAATAGACTAGTGCATACTGCATACTGGCTTTGGCTTACATGTTTGGTTACAACTACTCATTGGCCTTGTTTGTCTTCCTTCCCATGCCAATTTCCAAGACGGCAAATGTTGTAGAGGATGTACCTATTCAATTGTCACTCGGAGTCCCATAGAATACGAGTTCTTTAGTTTGTCGAGCCAAAATGTAAGTCATCCTTATCTTATATTACCAAATTGAAAGAAGTACAACATTCCTAACAATTTTATAAAAACGGTTCTAACTTAACAAGATAGACAATTCAATCACCAATAGAACAAAAGAAAGAGAGAGAGAGAGATCAATTGAGTACATAAACTGGTAAATTATTATTTAGGTAGGCACTAGGCATATTAGTGGGCCTGATCCAGTGAGGTAGCATTAAGAATTCTCAACATTGGTAAACCGGTGGAGGCAACCTGGGCTTAGGGTGCACACTCAGCGGAACGGCCCGCTGCAGCGTGAGCCCATAAGCCTCATCCATGTTGAGCTTCTCCGGCACGACACCGTCGGCTAGCTCCCAATCAAAGGCATGGACCAGAACCGCGGTCATCAGCTGAACCATCCGAAGACCCAAACTCATGCCCGCGCATATCCTCCGCCCCGCCCCGAACGGGATCAGTTCGAAGTCACTACCCTTGACGTCCACGCCCGGCTTGTCTCCTCCGGGCAAAAACCTCCCCGGGTCGAACCTTAATGGGTCAGACCAAACCTCCGGATCGCGGGCTATGGCCCAGACATTGACGAGGAGCGTGGCGCCCTTGGGGATGTGGTAGCCGTTGATCTCGCAGGATTGGGCCGCCAAACGCGGAAGAGAGAGAGGAGTGGAGGGATGGAGACGGAAGGTCTCCTTGATGACGGCTTGGAGGTAAGGCAAGTTGGGGATGTCTTGTTCGCTCACTAGACGGTCTGGGCCCACGACCGAGTCCAGTTCGGTTTGGAGTTGGGCAAGGATATTTGGATGTCGGATTAGCTCTGCTACGGCCCATTCAACTGTGCTTGATGACGTGTCCGTTCCGGCCGTGAACATGTTCTGCAATATAACAATACATGTACTCATGAGTCATCATGACGCGCGCGCGTTCACAACTAACAACTTAGGTAGGTAGCTTGGTCATCAAACCTTACAACAACTTTCTCAGTTTGATCAGTTAATGTAAATGTGCTGTTCATCCTCTATAACTTGTACTTTTACGAGGGATACATTAGTTTTTTTTTTTATGGGACGGTAAAGGAAACATTAATTAATGTTCCCCAACACAATTAAATTAAATTAAATAGGGGGTAGGGCCCCCGCGTGCGTACGTACCAGAAGCAAGGCTTTGATTTCGGTGTCTGTGAGCCTGCTCCCCTCTCCGTCGGAAGACAGGGAAGTCAAGAAGTCTACTACGTGGTGTGGCTCAGCAGCAGTAGTGTTGGCGTGTTCCTGGAGGATGTGGGTGAGGAAGGTGTCGAGGCGGAGGTGCAGATTCTTCATCTTAGCCGCAACCCGCTGCAAGTCCAGGCATTGGAGGGGTGGGACGAAATCGCTAACGTTGAAAACGCCAGCCAGAACCATCAACTCCACCACCATTGCCTTGAACTCATCCGCCTTGGGGTCGATGCCGCCGCTAATGTCTCCGAACACTCTCCGACCCACCAGCACCCTGCCCAGCGCATTTGCTGTGCACACCCCAAGCACCTGCCCAAGTTGCACCGCTTGCTTACCTCCATTATTCGCTAATGCTCGGCTCAGCCCCGCCACTTCATCCTATTCATTTTTTTTTTTTTTACAAACAAGACAAAACTCTTCATTAATAATAACTTTTCAAACTTCACTCAGTATTATTTCTTATTGATCATATAACTATTCATCATCAATAAATTTTGTTTCTTTAAATCATAGTTAGTCTAGCATCAGTACTATCAATACTTAGTCTAGCGGCAGTACTATCAATACTTAAAGTCGAAAGTTTCGATCTCATTTATTCTCAAATGTCCCTTTCCCCGGCCAACCAAACATTACTTTTCTTTTTCATCCCTCCTTAAACTTTAACAAAAAAGGGAATTATTTTGTAGCCAAATTATTTATCTAACGCTAACTATTAATTAATGCGACTAATTACTCAGCAATGGTTTTCAAAAACAAAAATTTCCTAACCGCACCACTCATTTTTGTCTTCAACTGCATTGGTGGCTTGATGCGGTCGGTCAAAACTGCATTCACTCTTTTTTTTTTTTTTGCGTCTTAACTTAACCAAACCACACCACGCCACACCACACCACATATTTGACCGTCTATCTTGGGGTGGGTTTGCAGGCCGCTTAAAGTAAAATCGTGCAATTTGTTACCTAGCTAGCTAGCTCTTTGATTATTAATAATTTAAACAATAGTAAACGCACCGCACCCTAAATCGATTTTTTATCAACATAATTTGTTTGATCAACATAAGTCGATTTTGATGTCATGTTACTGGTATCCAACTAATCTAATTTTGTGTGCAACTTTAAACATAGATCCAGGCGGTTAGTGATATTAGTGAGTAGCCTAAGAAAACATTTTTTTTAATCTCATGAAACTTTGCATGATACACCTCGCTCCATCGGCTCACTATAAGTATTTTACCGGTTTCATTTTATTGTTCCAACTCCTATTTTTGTGGGTCCCCCCCCCCCCACCCCACACAATCGTACATTTTCCCCGTAAAATACATTGTATTTTCAGATGATCGTAACTTTGTGCGTGGTTAATTGACAGACAAATAAAATTTTGCGAAATATAAATTTGTGAATCAATCAAATCATCGAGCTCAAAGTCGTGAGAGACTAAAGTTGTTACATCTTATGATTTTGACTTTGTCGTCTCAATTTTTAGTTTGCTGTAAAAGTCAAGGATTAGGTATTGGGGATTCTAACCCCCTTTTTTTGGTATAGAAAGATTGATTCTATCCAAACCAAAACCGTTCCGCACCCTAAGTTAATATTATGATGGATGGATTGGAGAGTGCAATTACCATTATTCAATAATAAGTTGTTGCTATATATAGTAGTGGTAGCTAGAACGTAGTAGGACGTAGCATAAGCAGAAACCAAGGAAACAGGCACCAAATTTCATGGAATTAGTAATAATGGAATTAGTATAATTTTGTGTTTGATGAATGGTTAGCAAAACCAAGAAAATAGATTATAATAATATTGTTACCTGGCGGACGTGTCTAAAATCATCGAGGGCCTTGGCGGAGAAGAGATGGACGGCGCAGACTTTCCTGAGCAACCGCCAGCGTGGGCCGTAGGGTGCAAACACCATGTCCTGATAATTATAGGCGATGTACTTGCCGCCGGAGCTGGGGGGCCGGTCGGAGAAGTTGGCGTCGTGGATCTTGAGGAACTGGGCCGCCACGGAGGCGGAGGCGGCCACCACCACGTCGACGAAGCCCAGCCGGAGGTGCATGAGCGGGCCGTACTTGCGGGCTAGGGCGGCGATGGAGTGGTGAGGGATCGGGCCCAAGTGGGGAAGGTTTCCGACGATCGGCCACGGCCTAGGCCCCGGCGGTAGAGGCTTCTGCCCTCGCCCGCCGACGAGGAAGAGCTTGGTGAGGAGGAAGTAGACCAAGGTGGCCAAGGCAAGGCCGGAGACGATCGCCGTCGGGGAAGCCATGCTAATTTTTGTTGGGATGGGGGGTGCTCCTCGATCTGCTTAGCTTAACAAACGTTTTGTTACTGATATTGATTGTTATGGTAAGAGGAGGAGATAGAGATTTATAAGGAATGTGGCCAAGGGGTGCAAATTGTAAATAGATGAAATTCTGGGGATCTTCTGGGATAAGAAATAAATTAGGAGGTGGAGTTCAAAACGGTCGGCTACGCCAGACGGGTAAGTAGGAGAAGAGAAGGGAAGAGAAGAACGAGGGCCGGGGAGTAACTACACGACAAAATGAAATGAGAGTGGTAGGTAAGGTGATCGGTTAAGAATAGATCTATCTTCTTCTTCTTCGTCTTCGGGGAGGAGCTTATTTATTTTTTTTTTATATATGTGAAGGGCAGCTACACACGATCTCAACTCAAGGGGGGAGGGAAAATAAATTCTAATTGCCTTTTTCTCTCATTAATAACTTTACTGTCGCTACGTCATAATATGCATCGTGTGTTGAGGTTACTTGTTTCTTAGTCCCCAAGTAACCGAGTCATTGTTGGACTTGAATTAAGAGTCATAGTTGTATTGGGTCTTGAGTTTGCCAATGAAAAAGGCACTCGGCCGTCCTTAGGCTTTGCCCTAAGCTAGTCATTATAAAAGCTTAGCTGCGGATCATTGTTGCAAGCAAGCTAGAGAAGAAGAAAATCATCAATAATATCATCAGCTGTGAGCTCGTTCCGAGCTCACCGTGGATTAGTCCTGTTCAACTAGAACAGGGATACCACGTAAAATCCCGTGTTATCAATTCCGCAATTTAGATTTCTTCATGGTATCAGAGCTGTGATTCGAATCCAACGTTCTTGATTGTTCAATATGGGTGATGATAAGGAGAAGCAGGTCGCGGATTCGGGTTCAATGTCAACCGTCCTCGTCAAGGATGGACCGGATCCGTCATCGCCTTATTATCTCCATCCCTCCGATCAGCCAGGCCAGGTCTTTGTCGCCGAGCTGCTCACGGAGCTGAATTATGGAGAGTGGGCAGCTGATATGCGCACAGCGCTTTTGGCGAAGAATAAACTCATCTTCGTCAACGGTACTCTTCCTCGACCAGCAGCTGGCTGGCAACTTGAAGCTTGGGATAGATGCAATGCAATGGTAGTTGGCTGGCTCAAAAATTCCATGAGCAGAGACGTTCGTGTCAGTGTTCGGTATGCTGAAACCGCCCAACAAATCTGGACGGACTTGAAGGAGCGCTTTGGAACAGGGAGCTTGCCCCGTCTCTATCAACTTAGACGGACCATTGCCTTGTTGCAGCAAGAGAAGGCTAGCGTCTCAAGCTTCTTCACAAAGCTGCGTAGTCTTTGGGATGAAATACAAGCAATTGCCCCGCCTCCAAAGTGCACTTGCGGAGGCTGTACCTGTGAGATTGAGAAGAGAATGCGAGACACACAAGATAGTGGGCATCTGTTTGACTTTCTCATTGGCCTAGATGATGTTTTCACTACGGTCAGAACTCAAGTTCTTTCTATGAAGCCTACACCCACTCTTGGCGAGGCTTTTCAGATGGTGATCAACGATGAACAGCAAAGAAGCATCACCAACACTCGCCGTCCCGTAATTGAGGCCGCGGCTTTGCAGGTACATGGCGATCAACACTCAACCACTCAGGGGGAGCGTCTTGCTCCGTCCGATCGCACTGCTGAAGGCCGCCCGCGTTGCACCCACTGCCAGAAAATTGGTCACTTAAAGGAGTCGTGCTATGAAATCATAGGATGGCCATCTCAGGAATCTGGACGAGGAGGCAGGGGTCGCCGTGGTAGAGGTCGCGGAGGACGATCAGGGAATCCGCGAGCAGCACAAGTCGAGTCTGCCGAAGGAACCCTCTTGGGTCTCACCGCAGCTCAAATCCAGCAGCTCAAATCACTACTCAGTTCCGAACCTGCAGCTAGTCCAGTGTCCAACATGGCAGGTAATATTCTTGCTGATCATCGTACTTGGGTTATAGATTCTGGTTGCAATGAACATATAGTTACCGATCCTTCCTTGTTGCTTGGTGAGTTGGAATTCGGTGAGAATTTACAGGTACGAATTCCTAATGGAAAAGGAGTTCCGGTCAAAGGGATTGGAAAGGCAAAATTGGGAAATGGTCTTATTCTTAATCGTGTGTTGCATGTCCCCGGTTTTCAATGCAACTTATTATCAGTTAGTCGTCTTACAGCTGATCTATCGATCGCCTTCATCTTTGTCGGAAATTTATGTATCCTTCAGGACTTACGCTCCAGGAAGCTGATTGGGATGAGTAGACAGGTTGACGGGCTGTACCACCTGCAATTGTTAGATCAGCAGCACCCAGTAGCACTCTCGGCTAAGCAGGCAGTACAGGAGACAGCAAAGTGGCACTCACGGCTTGGGCACCCGTCGTCGGCAAAGTTGTCACTTTTAGAGCCTTTTCTTTCTAGCACCATTGTTTTGAATAAGGACCCGTGTGTTTCTTGTCTTCGTGCAAAACAAAGTAGACTTCCATTTTCGGCCAGTTCTATCAAGACTACATCATGTTTTGAATTGATCCATGTTGACGTTTGGGGTCCTTATAAGCAGGCTTCTTTTACTGGTGCACATTATTTCCTCACAATTGTTGATGACTACAGCCGTTGTGTGTGGGTATATCTAGTGCGTTTTAAGTCGGAGGTTTCTCGATATCTGCTTTTATTCTGCAAGCAGGTCACTACTCAATATCAGCGGCAGGTACGCCGAATTCAGGCTGATAATGGACCAGAGTTCAATACAACTGCTCTTCGTGACTATTATGAAGAAGCAGGGGTCATATTGCAAACCTCTTGCACCGACACGCCTCAACAGAATGGCGTGGTTGAGCGAAAGCACCGACACCTCCTTGACACTGCTCGGGCGTTACTGTTTCATGCAGGATTACCAACTCGGTTTTGGGGAGAGAGTATACTGACGGCAGCATACCTCATAAATCGGTTGCCACTTGTCTCCATTGACAACCAGTCACCATACGAGAGACTTTTGGGGCAGCCGCCGAAGTACTCCCACCTTCGCAGTTTTGGGTGCTTGGTTTATGCCAAAAATACGCATCCTTTGCGAAAATTTGATGAACGCGGTAGAGCAGGAATCTTCCTAGGCTATCCCGCAACCCAACGTGGATATCGTGTGTATGATTTACACACCAAAATCATTTATACATCACGGGACTGTGTTTTTCTTGAAGAAGTCTACCCCTATCGTGATATACCCCATGGTTCATCACCTCACGTGCCCATGCATGCAACGTGTAGCAATCCCTTGGATGATGTATCTCCTGTTACATATTCACAAGAGGAGCCTTCCTCCTCACTTCAGCCTACACAAGAAATGTCAACAGGTGAAGCACCTCCCCAGGAGGACATTTCACCCACGTCCCAGCCTAATATTCTGGGCGAAACCTCCACGTCTCCCGCGCTGCAGCCCGCCGAATCACCCGATCCTCATTCGGCCGCTCCAAGTCCAGCTTTGCAGCAGCCTCCTCGTAAAAGCCAGCGCAGCACAAAGGGACAGCTCCCTGCCCGATATGCTGGTTTTGACGTGGAGCTTCCCTCGTCCTCTTCTGCTGATGTTCGGTTTCCCATCAGCAATTATGTGAGCTATCATCGACTGTCATCCTCACATAAGGCATACTTGAGCAAGATCTCCTCTGAAGCCGAGCCCCAGTACTTCTATCAAGCTGTTAAACATGAACATTGGCGCCTGGCCATGAGGGTTGAGATTTCGGCACTCGAAGCTAATCATACTTGGAGCTTGGTTTATCTTCCACCTGGTAAGAAAGCGATTGCTTCGAAATGGGTTTATAAAATCAAATATAAGCCCGACGGTTCAGTGGAAAGGTATAAGGCCAGGCTCGTCGCCAAGGGTTTTACACAGGTTGAAGGGATCGACTATCATGATACTTTCGCTCCCGTTGCAAAGTTAGTCACTGTTCGTTGTCTCATTGCGGTTGCTGTCAGTCAGGGGTGGTTTCTACATCAACTCGACGTTAACAATGCATTTCTCCATGGGGATTTGCAAGAAGAGGTATATATGGAAATTCCCCAGGGTTTCGCAGCACCTGGTGATAGGCGAGTATGTCGTCTTCACAAGTCTATCTACGGTCTTCGTCAAGCATCACGAAATTGGTATCAGAAATTCTCGGCAGCACTTCTTGAGCTTGGTTTTCGCCAGAGTCGTGCCGATCATTCTCTCTTTATCTATAGGCAAGGTACAATTATTGTTTTTGCCTTAATATATGTTGATGATGTAATTTTGGCAGGGAACGATATGACTTTTATCCAGACTGTCAAGACCTTCTTACATGATCGATTCACAATCAAAGATTTGGGCCCCCTGAAGTACTTCCTCGGTATCGAAGTCGCGCGGTCGCCAAAAGGCGTTGTTCTTAACCAGCGCAAGTATGTTCTCGATATCCTTGCAGATTCAGGTCTTCAGGCTAGTCGCCCATGTCAGTCACCGGTTGAGCAAAATCATCAGCTTGGTCGTTCTGAGTCTCCTCCTGCTGAGAATCCTTCCGCCTTCCGTAGACTGGTCGGTCGCTTGCTGTATCTCACAGTCACACGGCCTGACATCGCTTATTCTGTTAACTTGTTAAGTCAGGCTGTACATTCGCCGACTGAGGCTCATGTCGCTGCTGCCACCCGTATCCTGCGCTACCTCAAGCAATCCCCAGGTCATGGTTTGTTTTATCCGGCTGATGGTTCTCTTGACCTGGTTGCCTTTTGTGATGCAGATTGGGGTGGATGCCCCACTACTCGTCGTTCTACCACCGGTTTCTGCATTCGTCTTGGGAAGGCGCCCATTTCTTGGCGCACGAAGAAACAGTCAGTTGTTGCTCGTTCTTCGGCAGAGGCAGAGTATCGGTCCATGGCTAGTACCGTCAGTGAAATTCTTTGGCTTCGTTGGTTACTCACTGATCTGGGAGTTCCCCAGCCACGGCCCACATCATTGTACTGCGACAATCAAGCCGCTCTTCACATTGCTGCTAATCCGGTGTTCCATGAGCGCACCAAGCATGTAGAAATGGATTGCTATTTCGTTCGCGAACGTGTTTTATCACGTGACGTGGCCCCTCTGAAGATTGCAACTCACGAACAGCCTGC